GCCCTGTAATTTGAGCTAGGGTTGTCGTGTCTTGCTCAAGGACACACTCCAGTGACCACCCATCTGATCCCCGTGTCACCGACACTTGCTAAGAAGAAAATAGGCTCTGGGCCTTTTACAATGCAACAGTAACATAATAATATATACAATATAATGTGTTTTGACCAAAAGGAAAATCTCTCTCTAAATAAAGCTCACATTTAATTTATATCACATTAATTTAAGAACACAAATGGCTTTAATTGACATGTGAATGAATCAAATGATTATGATCTCTCTTAAAATACTGAGCAAAGCATTCCAGGTCCTCGAGTCGTAATATGCAAATACCCTTTCACCCGTGTTTTAAGTTTCATGGAAGGTAAAAACATTCTTTTTGTCAACCGGTGACCCTAATCTGCGAGTTGGAATGCATAGTTTCAACAGCTTTGATGAATTATGATGGCCCATTATAATTCTAGCATTTATGACAATGAGTGGCCAACTTATAATTTCAACAGGAAGCCAGTGCAGTATCTGTTAAAGGGGTGTAGCAAAGTCTCGCTTTCTTTTTTTGCTAAACTAAACGTGCAGCATTGTTTTGTAGTTAACATTGATTCTTTTTTCGACTTGTCTAGGGAGATTGATACAATATAATGTTTACATATTAGCTCATTTGTCAGTGTCAAGAATCAGATTTCTCGTTTACCGTAAATTATGTAAGACTTTCCATGTTTCAAGACAGAAAACTGACAAATTTTGTTCCAAATGGACGACAATGCTTTGTAATAATACGGTGTCGACAGTATTATGCTTTAAGCGTGCTGCTGGTTTCTTGATTACCTATTTATTAAAACAAACCAAAACTGCCAATATTTCTGATTGAAAAAATCACCAATACACAAAACTTAACCAACAGCAGGCTACTTCTATTCTAGTTAGAGTATTTGGTTACTCCAAATTGTGACGGAGAATAACATTATCAAGGTCGACAATGGTTTTGAAAAATAAAAGTTGGAGCGTAACGTTACCAACATACTTATTATGTTATTGTGTCTCATTCAGTAAAGACTATTAATTTATAGCGTAGAATGATATGAGTTGTCTTTAGAGGCCATAGCCAGAGAAGAGAAGCCGTTATTGTTATGCAGGCTGTTTAGCTCTTTGGTTCACTTTCATGAGCTTAATAGTTCAGTGGTATGTGCGATTAGTTTGGGTTTTATTTTTCTTCACTTCTTTATGAGACAGATTCAGTCTTATCCTGTGGATGAAATACGCTGCCCTCCTCCCCCCTCTCTCTTTTTATTACGCGCAATAAATAGACCCCATCCCCAAGAAAAAAAAGACCCAGAAAAAATAAGACACCCCCAATGGTAAGAAGAAGAAAAAAAGAAAAAGTAAACTCAAATAGGCCAACAACCCCCCCCC